GCTGCTTTCTCCTGCTCCCTCTGGCTCTGGTCCATTTCTCCCTTTTCCTTTGGGCTGGGGCCTGGACCGGTCCCCACCTCCACCGCCGCTTCAGGCCAGGGCTGGGTCCGTTCTCTCTCTCCCTTCCCCCACCACTTTGGGCCGGGGCCATTTCCCCCCTCCCTTTCAGGCCGGGGCCAGGACTGCTCCCTGCCTCCCCCTGCCACTTCGGGGTTGTGTCCCCCCACCATGAAGGTCATGTCAGGGAGGGGAGGGGTGGGCTGAGTTGGTGGTGGCACGCCGCTTCTCAAGTACCCCTGCCCGCTTCTCCGTGCTACTGGAGAACTCTATATAACAAAAGTATAATGTAAGTAATACATACTACGGCATATAGTTTAGAGAATGCTGAAGGAAATGGCCTCTTTCTCTTCCAGGAGCAGCCACTATAGAGCTACCATGAAAGCACAGAAAAACAGGATAGGATTTTTTACTGAAAACCAACATGTACCAGCTACAAATAAAACATTCCAACAAACCGGTTTTACAAGAAAGTTGAAGTAAACAATCGACCCCCTCCACCCTCACTTACCAATGAATACATAATGGTGCCGCTTTCTTTCAAGTCACATATCACAAAGCTGCACTCATCCAGGGACTTGAAGATTTCCTGCACCCCAGTTCTGTGGCCTGCAGTCTTGTCGAATGCTGTATTCCCATTTTTTCTGCGTCTGGTGTTTAGCCATGTTTCATGCGCCTCCCCTATCTTGTCGATACTACGAACTTGCAGTGTGACTACTGTTCCCGAAATTTACAGGCCTTGAACGGGGCAGGTTCCACCCCCTCACCCGGCCTCATTTTGATGTGAAAAAACCCAGACAGTTTGGTGCCAGGGTGGAAAAGAGTGTGAAAAGAAGGCGGGAAAAGTGGCAGGAAGCTGTGTGTGCGCAAAGTTTCTGGGTTTTGTGCCAAAGTTCAGGGGTCTGTGCAGGACAGTCAGATGCAAGCCCCAGAGGCAGAGCAGACTGGCCAGGCATCAGCCTCTGTAGGAGACTTTGCAAAGTGTCTGGTGGCTTCCCAGGTGGATTTTGCAAGCAGTACAGGGACCGAGGAGACATCCTCAGGAGAGGCTGGTTGGGAGAGGCGGCGCAAGTGTGGGATTGCTTGGGAGCATAGAATAGCAGTGTTTTGTTCTTTCTTTTGGTTAGATTACAATAAATTCTTTTACAATTTACATCTGTGCCTGTCTGTCTCACCCCGTGGATGGAAGGGTGCAAGTGGCAGGGTTGTTTTCGGGTGAATGTGCCCAGCTGCGAGCTTAGGGGGGTGCAAATGGCAGGGTTTTGGGGTGAACGTGCCCAACTGCAGGGTGGGGAGAACTTAGCAGGAGACTACTGGTGGGGTGGGGCTGGAGGCAGGAACTGTGGAGGCCGCTTAACATGTGCTTCCTGCTGTAATTCATTAAGAAAGACATTGGGGGTGGGGAGGGCGTAGATTGGTATTTGGCTCCCCCTGCTGGAATCTGCAGGGAATGACACATGGGACTTACGTCGCTTGAAAAACCATGTCGTTCAAACACAAACACGGCGCACCAAAGTAATCCAGGCTAGAATTTTAAAGGCGCAGTTAATTAACAAGGACTAAATGTTGTGTTATCTACAAACGCCCATTAACACTTCAATTAGTTTTAGTGTTTTCAGATTGAGGGTAAAATTTTCAAATGTGTGTACATTATTTAAGAGCCTAAATCCCATTGACTCAATGAATGAGATTTTTGTTTGAACACTGAACCCCACATTTGTGATTTTTGGAGCAAATGGTTTTTTACTCTATAAAGTTTAATCCCAAGAATGTGTCCAACAGCTTTTGAGGAGGATTTTCAAAGGGGAGCAGAGAGGCAGAACACCACTGTCACGGGTCCACAGGCAGCAACACTCAAAAGTATTCTCTTGCACCCCTGAAGATGGGAGGTGGGGGAGGCAATGTGGAATGTTCTGGAGGCAGTGGCTGGTAGAGGAGGCTCCCTGCAGGGAGAGTGGGGAATGCAGGTCCCCAGTTGAAGCTGTGACTGAGGGACGATTGACCCCGGGAGATTTTCACAGGAATTTTCAAGAGGGCCTTGTGGCAGCCTGTGCACAGGTAAGGACTCTGTTCCTTTTGTTGTACCTTACTCTGTTGTCAAAGCATTGATTACATTTTTGTTTTTATAACATTTGCGGTGCCATTGTTACTGCACCATCCTTTAGTACTTCCTTTTGGAAGTACTAAACAATGGCATAGTAATAGCCTGTATTGCACTGTGCACACTGCACATGGTTATTTTTAGGCACTACATTGCATATGGTGATGCACTATAATGGGGGGGACATGTTGCTATGGTGACATAGCTGCAGGGTCACAGGTTTTGCCCATTGACACTGTCACCATAGCAACATAGCATCATGTGTAAACATGCTCTTTATGTACGTGTGCAGTGTTCCTGCAGAAGTTACCTAAGAATGGCCCCTATAAAATAATTTTGCAACTACAAAAAACAGCCCTAAGTTAAACTACTTAGTTGTCTGAAAGATCACACATGTATAGCTTATCAGTTAGAACTTGACTGTTTAATCCTGAGAAATGATATTCTTTTAGCCACATTCAGGTTTTCTAATTAATCTGTTAGTTCAGGGGTCAGCAAAATATGTCCTGTGGGCTGGATTCGGCCCACCAGGCCATTCTATCAGGCCCGCAGAGTCCCTAAAAAATTTAGAAAATTAATATTTATCTGCTCCTGGCTGCCTGTGAAAGATGACGGGAGCCAGGGGCAGTAGGACCCAGGGGAAGCCAGAGGCAGGGCCTAGCAGCAAGGCCTGTCAGGCCTGGCCCCCACAACTAGAAGCCTCTGCCTACCAGAGGCTTCTGGCCTGGGACTGTTCCCACCTCCCTCTGCCTGAGAGGGCAACACAGATAATGAGGGAGGGGAGGACTGTGGGTGATTGCCCCAGTCCTTGGGGCCAGGCTGGCTCCTGCTGAGTCCCGCGGTCGCTGCCATGCAGCCAGGAACCATGTGGTGCTGGACTGCCATGGCAGCGGGCAGTAAAACAGTGAAAGTGGTGGCAGGCGATGGAGAGTGGGAGTGAGTGGGCATGCAGGAGCGCAGACAGTTGGGTGGGAGCATGGGGCCCGTGCTGGTGTCCTGGGGCCAGCACCAGCAGGGTCCAGAGCAGGGCAGCAGGAGTGCAGAGCCCGGGCTGGCAGGGGCTCTATGGAGCTGGGCCAGGTTGTGCCAGTAGGGAGAAAGGGCAGCCAGCCTGGCTCCATAAAGCCCTACCCGCTCAGCCCCGTGCTTCTGCTACCCCATTCTGGGACCTGCTGGTGCTGGCCCCGGGACACCAGTATGGGTCCTGTGCTCCCACACAGCTTGTCGCTGTGTTCCTGCATGCCCACTTGCTGCCACTCCTGCCACCTGTAGCTGCCGTTTCCCAACTTTCCTGCTGGCTCACCAGTCACTCCAGAACCACATGGCTTCTGGCTTCATCGCTGGACTGTGGGACCATAGGGCCCATGCCGGTACCCAAAGGCCAAGAGTGGGAGGAGTGTGTGTATGTGTGTGTGCATGCCTCTGCAATGATGGAGGGGGAGAGAGAGACAGAGAGAGTAATGAGGGAGGGACAGAGTGCGTGCATGCATGCATGTGCGCATGCGCGCGCGTGTGTGTGTTTGTGTGTACATGCACGTAAGGTAAGTCCCACATGCACATCCCCCTAAACACATGCACCCATACCCCCCTTTGCACTGCCATACACATAGACCCACACATCCACACCTCTTCACACACTCCAACCACCCTGCCCCCACACACAGATCCCCACAAACTCCATATCCATGGACACCCCACATATCCACACCCCCCCACATGCTTCCTCACCCCATACCCCCACACCCCCACACCTATCCCCCCCA